ATTACAGAGAGGGTTTATGTTCAGGGTTGGGGCGCTTTGCGGGTTGAATGTTTCGGTGTTGGCGGGCTCTACTTACCATGCAATTGTAATCAACTCACAGCATATCCGGTACGGTGACATAGACAATGCTCCATCACAAGTTATGACTGTTAAAACCCCAAAACCGCAAAGACCTGGACACCCAAAGCCCCAACAGCCCGGCGCACATTCTCGGAGAGAGAATTCGTTTCGGAGATGCCTCAGAGCCCACGGCTCAAGGATCTTATTCGGTTAGGGGCCTAGGAATCCCGAATCTCTTGACACCGGAATCTAGGCTTGGTTCTTCGTTGCTCTAAGGTCGTACTAATCGCTGTCAGATTGCTGTATGTCCTCGATGGTTGTGAAGGCACAGCATGCAAAAGTGCGCAAGAAAATTTATATGTCGGAAAAAATTTGGAACCTTTGAATCGGATTCGAGCATGTGAAGAATTCCCACAACTTCTTTCCAAACCGCACACAGATGACCGTAGCTACCAGCACCGATGAACCTTCAAGCATAGGCTTGCTGTCATCCGAAACATGTTGAAGTCTCTGGGAGGAGTGTCTGAGCACTTTAGGGTGCTTGGGTCTTGGGCTTGAAGGTTTAGGCTGATATAAAGGCTGCCTAGAAGTACGGGTCCCTTGTTCGGGAGTCCATGTATCAAGGATCCTGCTAGCTGGCCTGCATGCAATCTAGTTCTAACTAGTAACTAGTCACATCATGAAAGGTATGAAAGAATCCTGGACCGGGAACCCTCTGCCCCGAACGGTATCACTGTTGGTATTGCTAACCGATAGGGAACCCGAAGTGATGGCTGGCGTTGTACCTACACCGGAGTAACAGAGCCGCCGCAAATAAAATTTGCCAGCCGGTGAGTGTCCTTGCCTTTGTTTTTCATGACCATTGCTGCGGGTTTGCGGCTTGCGAGGCGGGTTTTACGCTCCCGGGTCTTCTTCCTTTTTAGAAAGCTTGAGACATTCAACGGCTTTCGCGCTGCAGCCCGAACCAGGAATGGGGCCCTTACAGGTCAATTAGGCCAAGATACCAGGTTTAGGGGTTGTATATAGGGGTTAGGGTTTATGGTGTAAGGTGGATTGAGGGAATTCATTACGTACTGTGTAGCCGTGTAGCCATCTCTGGCAATGCAGTATGCACCTGCTATAGGAATATATAACTGTGTGCATACACATATGATATATATATATATATATGCTACCCCCCCCTCAGGACCTACCTCGAAGCCTCTTCTTGTACTGTCTAGACGACATTACGACTCCACTCCGACGAAAAGCGTTAAATTGCCTAATTTTCTCTATTTACGACGACACAACCCCGTTCGACGAACCAAGACAACACCGCGAAATGATATCCAATATCCTCTGTATGCTACGCTATTAACCGCGCGCTCCTCCTGATGTTCCTTTTTGAAACCGTGATCTATAAGGTAACCTTTAAGTTATTGTAAATGATATCTTAAAAGGTATTCTAGAGGATATCTTTTGAGGTTTAGTTGAGGTATAATTACAAAAGATATATTATATAGGCGGTCTTCTATAAAGATAAGCGTCGATTTTGTCAAGAAATTCTTAAATCCTAGATTCCATAATTCCTTTATATGAATCCCTTACCAAATAAACAATATTCAACTGGGGAACTCTCAGATCTTGGGAGTACAAGGAATATAGGGAAGGGATATTCTATATGACATTATATGAATTTATTTCGGTTCTCATACTCGGACAATCCAGGCGAGGCAAATGACGGGCGAGCTTCAAAGTGAAACTCATGCACATGCTATCGCAACAATCATACGGTCCCTAAGATAAAGAATCTCTAAGAAATAGCATGTCGCATGTGCAAACCAAAGTCCGAACCGCTGCTGTAACCAGTTCGCGGACTTCAGTCACTACGCCGAGGAGGCTACAACAGAAAATGAGATACCAATAGTGGGACATAAGGGGTCAAATTAGCGAGCCGGGACAGCTCAAGTATTGCATTAGTCTCCTCCAAATTTTTCGACTTCAGTGAATTTTTTGATGCTGCTATCATATCATGACTTCACGCTTTCGCTACAACCCTCGTTTTAAAAACGCGACCCAGGCTCCACGCTCCAAACTACGGCTAGACCATTAATCATGCCAACAAGACAGGGGTTCATGCATTAAATTCACTAGTTACGCCTTCTCATGCAGTAGGCTGTCACTCGGATTCAGGTGAGAACGAGTAGAATATCTTATCGCAAACGATCAATCGCTAGCTTGGGCAGTCTTTGTGACGCGAGTCTCCAGCAAGCATTATGTCGTCGTCTCTTCTTTTATGGCTTGCCAACTATCGGCAGCGATTCATCCAAATATATCTTCTTCTGCTTGCAGCTCACACGTATTAACGACACAAATCTTCATGCAGGGACACCTAAATAAAATACCTTGGTCTCATACAGAGGCACTTGAAAGATGCCTTGGAGTCATGCAGTTATACAGATGATACATGCATCGAGGCACCCTCGTAGAATGGCAGCGCGGATTTGCTTCGTCCATATAGTATGTCTATCCCCCAACCGTGGACTGATTCTCATCCAAGCCAGTGAGGGCGAGTAGGAGGTATTCCACGATATGGCAGCGGGCTCTGGTTGTGCTACCTATGAAGTCATTCGCTGCATTCTCAATCTTGCAACACACACTGAGAATTCAATATGAATTCCTCCTTTGATGCAGTCGTTCAACGCGCCGTTGCTGAGTCGAATAATTTCTCTCTTTTATCGGTGCTCGTACCACCAATGCCTTCTGTCCAGGTCATTTTATCGAACAGTCCAGGTAATCATACCAGTGGAACCGGCACAGACAACCATGGTCATAACAGCGGCGTGGGTTAGTGGTTTCTAGGGCCGTAATCGAAGACAGTTTAGCTTCAGCAACCCAAAGCTTTCAACCCGAGTTCGATTAAACTAACAAAGGCTAAAATATGCTGGACGTCGGGGCTACGGGTATCTAGGAAAAGGCGGGAGCGACCAGAGAAAAGGAATCGATAAATTGACAAAATAAGATAACGAGGCATCGATAACGAACGTCAATATCTATATTATATACTATGTACAGAGAGTCCCATACTCTCTCAGCCTGGCTATATCTTGCACACAGCACACATTCCGGAGTCTAGGCCCCAATTATCGCTCCTATCATGATGACTGTCTCTTGCAACTCCAGTCTGTGCGGAGTAGGCGTCAGAGAGTCCAAATAGGTATTCGGGAGTTCATCTTCGCTGTCTGAGACAGGCATATCAAAAGGCTTGCCATATTTTAAGCTTTCCAACATCCCAAATATCCGTCTTCTTCTCTGTCCCAAATATCAAATTGAGAGGGCTGTCCCGGTCCTAACGGTTGATTTACACAGAACTCACAATCATAGCTGTGGGGGAAATCAAACCCTACTGCTTCAAAGCATTCTCGTATACATGCAGGAGTACTCGCTACTCCCATGACTGTAAATGCAATTAGAATAACTCGCCTCTGGATCCAGGGTTCTGTGCAATACAACAAAATCTTTCCGATAAATCGTAAAAATTTGAAGGGCGATAATTCATAATGCAATCCTCTTATCTGAATCCCAAAATATTCCTTGACTACTTCCCCTTTAGGCGATTCGATCCAAATGGATCCTCCCTTAAAATAATTAAGATTCAGCACCACTTGGAGCTAATGAGAATTCCCCAAATCCCTATATAAATCTTTCCCGGCCGAATTCCTAATCCCAACAAAGATATTCTATCAGATATTCCATAGGCTATTCATTATTCCTCATTCCTTTTATAGATGTCCCTTGCTGAAAATATTGCAAGAAACTTGGTCTCCTTCTGATCTCCCTAAAAGAAAAATCCTAATCTATATGATTTCTATCGGGTATCCCAAAAGGGATTCTCAAGGACATATCTAGATATATGGGATATATCATGAGTCTCAAGCATATATATAAAATATATGAGGAATATCATATATAGATCTATAGAATTCTCTATAAGGCATTCTATAGGAGAATCTAAGAAATATTCTATAAGATATTTCTATAAGGTGCATATTGATAGGCTATATCATATATAATAGGCTAGTTCTTTTCAGGGAGGGCGTGCCGACATAATCTTAAAGATAAGATAGGAATTGGGATGTCCATGTCTGAGATTGCGCACCAATAGTACATGATAATAGAGAGGCGGGAGGATTTATAAGAGGATTGCAGGCTGCAGCTCCAAATACTGCAAAAATCTCAGGGGTGAAATATTTCTTATGAAGTCTATCTTTATAGAAATCTAATATCAATTCAATATGCAAGCTATAATATAAATTAGACAAGAATAAAAATATCAAAAAATATCAATTGAACCTAATTAAAATTTCAATCGATCCAAAATTCAAAATTTCCAGGGTCTGACCTGAAGAATCTTAGATCTTAACTAAACCGATTAAAATTTCAATTTCAATCAGAATCAAAATCTAAGATTTCTAATTAAATTTTTAATCGACTATATTCAATCGGGATAAGAAGAAATATTTGCATAGATTAAGATTATATATATATATAATGATATATTTATTATGAAATCGAAGAAAAATTATATTATAATATAGAAGAATAGATATGAAGAGATATAAATAGAAATATTCATAAATAGAAGTTATAAAAATAAGAAAGATATTTTGCGTAGCCCTTCATGAATGAATAATAAGAAATAAGCGCTAGTATATATATCATTATATTTTAATTTCTTGAAAGCTAATGAATAAAATCAAATATGAAATATAATATCGTACTGCCAATATATATGAACTATCAGATTTTATATATCATGTTGTTGATAAAAGCGACCGCTGGATTAAAATTTCGATATTTTCAAGCCCACGACCGGTATGTGCTTGCCATAAGCATTCCCGAAATTGCTCAGGCAACGATGGTGCAAAAAGCTAGCATTCGTGCTTCGCCCCCACTTTTACAGCAATCTTGCGCTTCCGCTTCTTGACGCTTCGGGTCTCTGCCGGACCCACATCGATGCTGGCAGCAGTTGGCTGCGATGGCAAGTGCGAGTCGGCACAGGCCTCCGCTTCTGCGACTTTGAGCTTGATTTCTTTCATCTTGCATCTTCCGACCTCGCGTGGCATTCTGAAACACAGCATCAGATATGCCCTCAATGATACCGAAACGCTCTCCTTAAATATTTTAGCTGAGAGCAGTCGAGCCGCTGCAGCAGCAAATGATTCCAGGCCCACAGTTGGTTTCGCTCGAAGTCGGCGTCTTTTTCGACGCATCGGGCGCTTGACAGTTTCCTGCCGCCCAGTGTGCCTAGACTGAGACTTTGCAGCCTGCTGAGCAGAGCTGCTCGCTGACGGTATTGGCCACGAGCGCGCCTGCCTCCAGAGCAGTGAATTTGGCAAATTGCCTGCAAAGCTACAGCAACAGTATGTCTGGCGCCTGGCCTCATGCAGGCGCGCCTGTGATGTCATTAGTGGATACGTCACAAGCAATAGGGCTTCATGCGGAACTTGGCACGACAGCATGTCAGCATCTGTTGCGAGAAAGCTGCCAGGAAAGAATGGGATCTCCAGCAGCAAGCAGTTCTGCTCGCAACGCCTCTCGCTTTTTTCGCCGCATTCCGGCGCTGCTGCTCAGCTTCTGCTAGTAAGCCCTACCGTGTTTCAAGCGAACGATTGCCGTGCAGCAAGTGTTGTTTGAGCTCTGAAGGGTTCCGAGTGCTGTGATGTAAAAGCCTTTCATGGAGATGGCAACTTCGTGTTCATCTGACAGCCTTGAGCAATGAACATGCGACACTGGAACGGGGCTGAACTTGTGTTGGCAACAGATGGCAATCAAGGGTGGTCACATCCACTGCGAGCTTGGCCTCACGAAATCTAAGAAGACTGCGGGCAGTGCTCAAACCCCGCGCAAGCGAGCCTTTTTTGCGATGTGCAAGCGAGCGATGCTGCCTTCAGATCGCGCAGGCCTAGCAGTGTGGTGCAACTGCAAGTTACGCAGGCCTACTCCTGTGGATCTGAGAGACAAGCCTGAAGTCGGCATCATTACACTTCCAATGGCAAGTCGGACAAGTGATACACGTCCTGACCACCACAGAAACGCGGGATCTGGAGGCAACATGCACGGCAGCTCCTCATTGCTTCATTAATCTGCTCTGTCCTCACACCACGCAGGGGCTCGACCTGATACGTGCGATCTGCATCAAGCCCGTTTTCATTTGCTTCTGGCTCGGAAAGCTCCCGTGCTACACGGTAAGAGACGTGTAGCCCACGAGCTATTAGCAGTATCAGTAGGAAGTATTGTACACATTCATGAACTATCTGTGATGCTGCCAGTGGAAACGCTACATGTGTCTATCCGCGGTCCGCAGAAACAAAACCAAACTCCCAAAGGAGCAGTTGAAGCGGAGGTAATAAGGCCGAGCTCACGGCGACCGGGGGAAGAGGCCACGAGGCTGCTAAGCCCATTAATTTTCCTCATCTCTGCCTGTCGAGTCGTGTTTTCACAGCTTTGAGTTTGCGACTCTTGCGGAGCCGCCTCGCCCAAAGCAAATTCCAATGAGGCCACGTGCTCCAAGAACTCGCTCCTGCGTGCAGGCGAACTCGCTGCGTCTCTCTCGGATCGTGAAGGTCCAGTGAAGGTCCTCTGTGTTGCATTCACAAGCACGACCCCACCCAGCTGCATGAACCATCTGTCGATAACCTCGCACTAGCTCGGAATGCCACAGGAAACATGCTCATCCAGTCCCGAACCTGCGCACAGCTGCGATTAGCTCGCAAGGCAACCTCAGCAAACAAGATTTGTGCTTGCGATTTGTCAGCGCCCCGACAGCTGAGAAACTGGCCGCAGAGATGTGTGGATCATCCAGAGGTCGTAGATAGCCACACCCTCCCCCCTGCAGCACGCAATCTTGCGAAGACACGCTAGGAGACATGGAAGTCTGGCAGCCTGGGAGAGTCCGGAGCCCATCGTGACCTGAAACGGAACGAGCGGCTGTTGGCAGACCTTTGCACATATATATATATATATATGTATGTATGTATGTATGTATGTATGTATGTATCTATAATAGGACTTTCTCGTGGGTTGCATGTCTGCTGGCTGTGGCAGGGCGGGATTGGCTGGCCATATCAGCGAAAGAACAGAGCCAGTGGTGCGATGCTGGCTGCAAGCAGCTCCTCCATCTGGGAGCTTTGCCGACGAGCCTGAGTTCGCTTCGGGGCAAATCCATCGCCGAGCCTTATGCGTCCTGGCCTCGTCCGGACCACCAGGCTCGTAGACCGTGAATGTTGTCTGCACAAACCTCGAAACCCCACAGACTCTGCCTGGCTGGAGCAGGTCCAGCCGCCCAGCCTAAGTGCCAGACTCTGGTCGGCTTCCTCGCAATAGGAATGTCTTCATTCGCTCAGGTGGCATCTCACTCACCTGGAACCACAACGGCGCACCATCCAAGATATCTACACACAGCTTTCGTGTGCTCGATGCAGACAAGACATGCTGGTGCGGCGCCAACTGCACTCACAACGCCTCGCATGGAGGCCTGAAAAGCACCAACATCTCGTCAGACTAAACTATCGCAGTTTAACACTGCCTGACCTCGAATTGCTGCCAGACTTCGACATCATCCTCAGACGACTGCTCCTCCCAATGCGCAGACACACCCCGAGAAGTCCATTGGCGGCTGGAAACAGCTGCTCCTGAAATGCAAGAGCCGCGGCATCCAAGTGTGACATGACCTGCCACAGTTTACTGTGTACCCCTGAATTTCTCGAACTTTTCTCTCTCGGTGGGCTCCGCACAGACGATGTGCCGACACCTTAGTCAACATGCACTGTTGTTCCGGGGCTGGCACGTCTCCGATTATCGCAGGTTTGATACGCAGGCGGCTTGCTGTGATAAGTTGCGCAAGCACATGTGCGAGCGGGGCCTTTGACATCAGCACCTTGTATCCTGCCGACGATGATCACCTGTTCGTTTGGTCTGTCAGGCAGGGCAGGCGGTGTTTAAAACAGAGATTCACGCCGTGGCAGTGTAGGATCAAACAACCAGCAGCAGCATACGATGATTCGGAACGAAGGTGTATTGTACGGGGGCACCTCGCGCCGGTCCAGCCCAAAGCTGTCAAGTACATGTAGCACTTCGCGCACCAAGTGCACAGCCGCCTGAGATTCGGTGTCAGCTATGTCAAGCCACTCACTGCGGCAAGCAGGATGCAGCAGTCCTCTGTCAGGAAGAGCATCCGGATCCCGCTCTCCAGTGCCAAAGCTGCCTCTACGCAGAAGGATTGCTCTGACGACTTTTCGTGTGCAGGACTGGAGCCTCAAGCGAGCTTGCCACTGCCGCTCCTATGGGAGGCACCTATCGCTGACAAGCACTTCTCCGATGGCGCTGTAGATGACGCAATCCGTTCCGTTCATTTCGCGCAACTTAACTCAAGCCTTCAACTGGCCAACGGCAACGGAGCTCTGAGGTGTCACCTGGCTTTAAAGATGACGTGGCGATGCTCTCCCTCAGTGATTCGGACCTGCAGGGAGCGGCCCCCGGCAAAGCGGAGCCTCAGACACTCTCGAAGATGTGGCCTTTTTTTCTCAGCTCCTTTGTTTCAGCTGTCGGCCCATGCTGCCCATGTCTCTCCTCGAAGTCCCGGGAATTGGAAGGAGACTTGACCTGCAAACTCTCAATGACACGGTAGGACGCTAGGAGTTGGAACGTGCCACAGACCAAAACAAATCGAGACATATCAAGACGCTGAACCATGTGCTTTCACTTGGCTAGTACCCGGCTCTTCTGTTCCGAATGGCAATAAATTCTCCGCAGGCTCCACACCCATAGAACGACAGGGAATGCTTAAGGTTCTACTATCAGCTTCTGGGGATTTTGTGGTGAGGCGAAGTGAGCATAGCGGGACGAAATCCCCGTTCTTGCAGTGAAGTCTCTTTGGTCATTCCTGAGCTTAGAAGGCCTCGAAACGAAAGCGGTCTCAACTTTCTGGCTCGCGTGGCACCGCGCACCGAATTCGGCCCAAAGCCATTCTCAGTGTGCTACGGCGTGCTGCAGCGACGGCCACTTGCCATCTTTCGGTCCTGACAGAGTAGATTCGATTCAGCAGCTGCTCGTACAGTTCTGATCGCAATTTGCTGCCGCTCCTGCGGTTTCATCGAGGCTGATGTTGCAGGAACTCGATCATTGCAAATGCAGGTCCCCAGCCGCCGGCAGTAGCTGGAGTGGCAAGCCTGAAGGTCTCTCGACTCGATGGGCTCAGAAAAAAGAAAACTACCAGACCTTCATTGCCGGTCCCGCTTCAGCGGCTCGCAACCCCCTTGCTCGTGGTCGCTGCACACTGTCTCTCTCCTGGTGCAATGCATCTATGGCCCGGCTGTTGACCAGTTGCGATCGGAGCATTGCTCGGGGTATTTGCGGTTCGGGGGCTCGTAGTCGTACTCGATACTTACGGACAATGATGAGGGGCAATCATGTTTGACTACCAGTACTATCAGTAGGCCTGATCGTGGTTTTTCTGTGTATCAGGGGTACGAGGAACTAGTGGCCAATACAGTGTCACAGCAAGACTTAACTTGACGAGAGCTCAACAGCTAGCCTGACTTCCCTTGCTGTTTCGCTTGCCTGCCGCCTGGCTAGGACGAAGCCGGCATGGCAGGATTGGTTTTCCTTTACTGGTGCATTGCTGGGCTTGCTCTTTAGGGTGTGTGGGTACTCCAGCCCGAGGCAAATACCTCCTAGTATGGGGGTGGGTGGGTGGGTGGGTGGTTTTTATTAATTGGGGGGAAGTGATTCCGCCGCAGGCCACTGTGTCTTGGACAGCTGAAGGTACTGCCCACTCTGAATCGGCCCGAGGCGATGTCTTGCTATTGCCACGTCCTTAGGAGGAGCAGCTTTGCCAACCATGACCTGGGCTCTAGCTTTGAAACTTCCAACTTCAGCATGGAGGAGGCATCGTTGCTGGGAAACTGGCACACGGCTCAAGCGAGTTTTCGGCCAGAACTTGCTGGTAGCTTATGGACTCCTGGCTCGCGAGCAGATTTGCCTCTCTTCGCAGCTTTTGGAGCTCAGGAAGTAAAGCGAAGGAATGCGTGACCCTATGACATTTGAGCACATCTCCAGCGAGCTCCAATCCAGCTGCTGCCTGCCTCGCACGAAGATTATGCAGAGTTAAATGCTCTATGGTGTCATCACTTGCCTAATCTGCCGCAGTGCCTCGTGAGCCAGCGGTGAGGTGCTCCTGAATCATCTTCATCTCCGGGCGATCCAGCGACTCATGTTTGGTCATGTATGGAAGGATCTCTTCCAGCTCCTTGGCTCGTGAGAGCAGCCGTCTTTGCCGCGACTCTTGCATTACAGTCGTGCCGCTGGCCAACCCGTTCTCGCTGCGCGGAGTTCCTGAACAAAACGGTGCTGCAACACATTCAGCTGCAAATGCACACTGTTGTCATATCATGTGGGAACAGTGAAGGCTCCTGAATCTGCAGGGTCCGCCCCAAAGAGTAGACATCAGCCTTCAAGCCGCTGTAGGCACCTGCCGCGCTTCATGGAAGCTGCCCCACAGACACCTGCAAGACATGCAAGAAGGGCCTCCGCTTTCAACTTCTGGAGCCCGAAAGCCGACAGTTCCACATTTGCCAAAAAGCTGCTGGTCGGCCTTGCGGACTTCAAGGGAAGTTGCTTTTGCTTTCTGCACTTTGCCCTGAAAACCACTGGGCTGGTGTTGCAGCCTGCTGGAGCTGACATGCCGTCACGAAGTCGCAAAGCCGGACTTCTCCTGACAACGAAGCCTATGCATCGCATTGAGGATCATTCTCCATTCATGGCCTGCAAAGCGAGGAGCCCCGGCCTGATCCAGAGAGGAGCACGTTGTCCGGCTTTATGTCGAGATGGCAAATTAGCCGTGAATGCCTGGTCCGTCGGCCCAAAACACAAGAACATGTTACCGACAGATGTCACCATGCAATGATCCACTCCGACCCCATCCATGGCCAATGCGAAAACGTCCAAGTAAATCGATGGCCGAACCGTGGAAACGCCCATTCCGACCCTAACGATGGCTACTGCGAAACATGGCCGACCCGCGATAACGTCGCCTCCGACCATATGCAGAAGTCTCTGTTAATGCCATCTCGGATCGGCACACTCACAAGAAGTTTTTGCTGTAGCCAAGCGTCAAGTGACATACCGCCTGCGCAGCATGCTAGCCCCTAGTGCTTGCAGAGAGGATGATCGTATGTTCTCTGCATCTCCGCTGTGACATGGGCCCGGCCTCTAGCAGCTGCTGCACGACGGTCTTGGCGGTGTTTGCATACCGTCCCAGCCAGTCTGACAGTCGACCACCGGCACAAAGCTCCACCACTGTCCAGAACTCGCGCTCAGAGTCATATATCCCTTGGCTGCAAGATCTACATTTATGCCGGCCTGCACCGGTCTAGCGATGGTGCAGCCCAGTTGCCGTGCAGGCTGACAATGTACGGGGACTTTGCGAGCGAGTGTAGCATCTGCGATGCATGTGCGCTGCTGGGTGGCCCGCTCCTTCCCTGCTTAAGGGCCCAGACAACGACTGCCACTGTCCCCGGCCTGGACTTCATTGAGGTAGTCACCAGAACGGTGCACGTCACAGCCCTTCTGGATTCTCTTTCCAGCAACGGTGATGCCGGTGCGCCTGCAAAACTAGGTAGAATCTGCGACAGCCGCAGTGTAGGCACGCAAGCTGGCATCAATTAGTCCTGTGACGCAAGCGATACACTGCTGACATTGGAGTCTCCTTGGCGCTGCAGGAGCGAGACCAAAACTGAAGCGTCGTTTCGACAATCCAGCCCTTCAGTGATGGGTTCGGTCTGAGCACGTCGATGAGATCTAACATCTCGAACTCGGTCAAGTCCAACCTTTGTCGAAGCTAGGCAACGCTGAGTAACCTCTCACGGGCGAAATCGTCCAGCCTTCTGGCACATGGGAGTACTGCGGTCTCCTAACATGAAACCGCAGATAGCCGCTGCGTTCGTATCTTTACCCCTCATCTCCCCACTCGTGCATCTGCGACCATGTGTGTCCTTGTAACGCTGTGGGCTGGCTACCGGCGGCCTGTTCCTCTGATCGCCAGTTCCCGGAACACCTACATGCCTCCAGTTGTGCGCGCCCGCTGGAGTGGCATCACACATCCGCTGGCTGCGGGATGCTTTCGGGGGCCTGCTTGCAGGAGGCTGCTCCGAGCGCGGCGCAGAGGCTCCTGCCAAACAGAGCCAAGGATCGCCGTGGCTTCAATTGGCTTCAGAACTACCCGGCCTTGACTGACAGCACCGACTGCTCCGGTGGAAACGTCCTGCGCAATGCAGCATGTGGGCAGCGACATTCGCATGGTTCGAACCCATACATGCGGATATTTGTGACTCCTTGTGCCATGTTCCTTCTCCGCCCGCTTTTTCTCGCTGCGACTGTACCAGAGTCTCTTCCGAAGGAGGCTCCTGCAACGAACGCATGGTCGGGAAGTGATGCTGCCGACTTTCCGAAAGGCCAGCCAAGTCTTGTCATGACGTTCGGGTAGTGTCAAGCCGGAAGTCGATCATGATTCGCCGACGGTGAACATTCCACTACGTTCAGCAGCAAAGAGGGCCACCAATGCATCTTTCCCGAAAGAAACATGAGGCTCTGTTAATCAGTCCTTCACTATCTGGTAGCTTCTCTGACTGGCACCGCATCCCATGGGCAGCACCTACCTGTTGCGAACTCACTGTTCCTGGTGCAGGCTCTAGACTGTAAGCTCTGCCGCATCAGCTCTTGCAAGATGTGAAGTTCCCAAATGCCCGTCTTCTGGAACCAGGAGACTCCATCTGCTTGGCTCTTGGAAAGTATTGGGTGAAACACTCTTCGAGCCGTCAATGCAGTGGGTTGTTTAGTCTTTCTTGACTAGTCGGCCGCGCGCGACAAAGGCATCATTGGCATCCTTGTGATAGAATGTTGAGCTGTTCTCTTGGCAGGCCTGCAGTGGTATCTCTGTCAGCGCATTCCTAAGAGAGGGGGATCTCCCAGCGATTCCCGCAAGTAGCAGCAAGGCTTCGACAGCTTCTGCTCCGGGTCCCAAGCACCACCTCTCGGGATGCAGTGGCGGCCTGGACACGAGGCGAGCACTCGGCCGATCACAGCACCTATGAGCGAGAAGAGGTGCCTGGCGCCAGTTGGCATACCTGGGTCCGAGACCAAGACCACAGGCAGCGTCTTGTCTTGTCTCTCTCTCTCTGTCTGGACAAGAAGCACTCCAACATACGTTTCGAGGCCACGGCCACAGGCCGGGGTCGTCGCCAAGGCGGTCGATAAGTGCGTGGATATGGCCAAGTCGACTCAGGCAGAAGCCCTCCGTCTCTCTCTTAAGATCAACAGCACCAAATACAGCACCGGTGTGGAGCACCTTTGCGTGGACTCATCGAGGGTCGCGAATGCCTCCAAAATCTCCCGGACTGCGCTCGGACAACAGAAAACGTAGTGAGCCATGAACCATTCAATCTGCTGTGCTGCATGATGAATCATTGCACGTCCGCGCTCGGACACACAGAAAACACAAATCAAGACAGACTATAGTTAGATTTGAGCACCCGGCCTGGACTCCTAGACTTGCCGCTTGCAGCTTCGCATACTTAGAATTAGGCAAGCTTCTACATGCTCAATTACGGCACATGTGCCTGAGCAGCCAGGCGCACATTGTTCCACACATAGCCTCATGGTGCCGAAGCATGAGCACATTCTGGAGAGGCTCGCGACGTTCTGCTGCAGCTGCAGGGAAGGTAAAACCAAAGGTTTACAACTCCCAACATCGGAACTGTATCGACCCCCGACCCCCTCGTGGCTACGCCAAGTGCAGACCGCCGCCCAGTCCGATTGCAAGATCTGGGCTATTCGTAGTAGATGCTACAAGTACTGGGCACGGCTGCTGTAAAGCTGATTCGAAAGCCGCTCTCGTCGCATTCCGAGCTGCGCCAGGTAGGAGCAACGCTTAGCCAATCACATCCGCTGCCACGTCGATCGCAAGCCTCTCTTTTTCAACAGCTTTGCGCTTTCCGCTCTCTGCCGCACAAGGCGACGCAGAGACACAGAGCTGCAAAGACCCGATCTGATGTCTGATGGATGCAGTGCCACAGTCGGAGTGACAGCATGCCTAACTTGCAAAGTCTTGCCAGTGCCTCGCCTCCGACCTGCACTACAACCTTGCACCTTGTAACCAACCCGGGATCTCTCGTCTCTCTTGCTAGGCTCTTTGTCCCAAGGCTTGGGTTGCTCAAGATGAGAAGCTCCAGAAAGCCCGCAAAAACGCCCAACCAAAACATGTCAAACAGCCTTCGGCACAAGGTTGGCGGCCCATGCTGCAGCATCCAAGTGAAGAATGGCCTGCTTGAGCTTTCAAGCGCTTGGATTGGGCTGCGCGAGGCATCGGAGGCCCTCGGCCTCAAGGCCCAAAGCGCTCGAAATCTACCTCCCCCAAGCCCCCGTACCAGTAGCTTTGGGCACTTGATGGCCGATGCTCCTTCGAACTTATAAGACACTATGAGAGCGTCTGCTTTGAGCCTCCGTTCTGCCTTCCGGCGACACTGCACAAGCCACAAAGGCGCCTGCTCTTCGCTCAATTGCAAGCTGGCCCTGTCCTGGAGCACTGGGGGCAGATCAGGTTACACAAGGTCGCGTGCGCTGTGAGAGGCAGCTTCCTGGCTTGTTCTGGTCACACACAGAGCAGAAGATCCCAGCCTGAGCAAAAGCACATGGCCAACGAGTAGATCGACTTCGCAAAGACAAAAGGCGAAGCATGCCCGCTGAGCCGATGGCAACAAAAGCCGACCGGTTGGCAGGCCCATTCCCGCGATTTCATCTGAAGAGCAAGATGGCTCCCGAGCATTCGTGCGATGTGGCCCTTTGACGAGGAGCTTCTTCCGGGCAATTTCGGAAACAACTGCTGCTGGATGGAGTTGAACTGGGGCACCCGGTTGCAGTATCTCGTCGTGATGCATCAGGCGAAATGGCATAATTTCGCGGCCGTGCTTGCTGGTCGCAACTGCTGAGAAGAGTAAGCATTTAGTAAGTAGACTTCTGGCAGCTGCCTCGGATTCAGCAGGTTTCATCAAGAAATGCCGTAGGGCCGTAGGGTGAAGCAGCAAATGGACAACCAAACAACGGTTCTTCGATCTGAGGAGGGTAATGAAAGTACGAAGAGTGTTTGGGTCAATCCAATATTTGGCATACAGCATGCCGTACACAGCATATCGCTTCCTGCATGGTATCGACATCCACTCCATCTGGAATAAATCTGCATCGGCTTCCAGTCGATCGCATCGGGAACCTGGATATCGCAACATGCCATTCAACACTGCTCAAGACAGCTGTTGCTTTTCTGCATGTCGTTTCACATAATATGTGTATACATGTACATTTATATAGACGTACATGTGCTTTCATGCGTGTAACATCCACCTGCATGCGCGCAGCTGCAACACCAGTCTACAAGAAGCATCAGCATGAAGCTGTCTGAAAATACATGGGTGATTGTGCCACTGCGCGCTTCAATGCACGTGCGTCTGTGGGCGCTTGTGCGCCTCTCCTGAAAAACCGATGTCCAGCCTGCTGCGAGGTAGGCGTGCTACTGCTCCACATGAGGCACGGGGCAAGCTTCAGGATTCGCAGAATTTCGAACCCGCCTTAGACGCCAGATGCACTGACTGTAGAAAAAAGTACTCCCTCGGAAGTTGATGGAATGCACCGGCTTTCCCTGACAGTGCTGTGTTGCCGACTTAAGCGGATGTCAGATCAAAGCATGCGTCATGCGTGTACAAGACGCTGTTTTAGTCATCCAGTTCGAGCGTCACCCTGCGCACAACAGGCATGCCTACTGCAGGTGGGGCTGCGGGCTCAGAAATGGAATTTCTCTTCGAAGACGTGCCTCAGCCAGTCATATTGCACATGCCATGTCAAGCACCGGCTTTCTGCTTTGAGTTGAAGGCATCTTGGCTTCGCACGTTGAGGAAGGGCATTTTGCCCCACACTCAAGCCCAACTCCAAAGGCGCCGAGGGCAACTCCCCCCAAAGTATGTCGGGTGAAGCATGGCTTGGTGGCGGTGGTGCCGGCTTCCAGGACTGTACTTGGGATGCTCCCTGCTGAACATCTCGCCTGCCTGGCTCTGGCAAAGGCGGGAGCGGTTCGTCTGCAAATGTGGGCCCGAAGCTGTCGGGTTCACTGGCACAAGCAGGAGGTCTTTCCGTCTGCACTCGTGGCTCTGCTGGCCTCCCTGGTGCATCGAGAGGTTTTGAGCGGTGCGCCCGCTCAGCTTGTCGACGTGCATCCCGCGACATGGACAGCCTTTCAATCAAATTGGCAACTTTGGGGGGTAGAGATGCTGGCGTCTGCTTCAACTCCACGTGAAGGGCCGTGTCCTCTGCATCCTTCGTAACGCTGGGCAGACTGGGGAAGCTGGGGCCGCTAGGGACCAGTGGACTCACCAGGGGATTGTCCAGGTCATCCGGCTCGCTGGGAGGCAAAACTGGAGCGAAGCTCGGGCTCTCACTCGCCTGCGTTTCCTCCGCTAACTCTGGCAAGGCTAACCGAGGAGGTTGAGGCGGATCTGGGGCTGCAAACCTTGCTCGCTCTTCCCGGATTTGCTTCCAAATAAGGGCTTCCAAAGAAAGCTCTGCGTCCACGATGTCATCTGCGGAGTGCCTCTCTCCAGTGTCACCATTTTGATCTTTACGTGCCAGCTGTGTCAGCAGGTCCACGGTGTCTTGAGCCTGCCTCCTCTTTGACCAAACGCGGTGAAGCTTCTCACTATCTGCAGAGATGCGGTCTCGGAGCTGGCGCCGCTGTTTGTCGCTTTGGCACAACTGTTCATGGAGAGCTGCAGCCGTTGTTGACATGTCCCCCTCACCGGGTCCGGTTGCCTCCAGCAGCTTTGTCCACAGCTCCTCCCGCCGATGGCCTGCCGCCAAGTCAACCTCACTTTGTCGTTCTTTCAGCTTCTGTGCTCTAGCCCGGATGGTCTTGATCTTGTCGCGGGCTTGTCGCACCTCCTGTGACAACGCATCCCAGCGTCGAGTGCAAGCAGCCTCCCAACGCTGCATTTCCGCGATGGTTCGTTCAGCCCTGATCAGGACCTGCAAAATATCCATCGACTCTTTTCGGCTCAGGGTCTCTTTGCAACTGACGGTATCCCGCCAGGAAGCCAGTTGTTGCAAAGTACGAAACTCCGACGGACCGGAGCCGTCTGGGCTTCCCGGATCTTCTACTGGGGCTAAGCATGCGAAATCCGCCAGCCTGTTGCGCAAACTCGACGCATGTATCGTGCTTTCCTGCAACTGCATGCTCTGCTCACCCGCAAAGTCGGGGCTTGATCTGTCTTGGACTGGCAGGATCGCTTTGGATATGCCAGCCTTGGTCAAGTGCTCTGCCTGTCCCAGCAGGGCAGCTAAGCGGCCAGCCGGATGGTGCGTTGCGTGCTGCAAGGGTCTCGCAAGGCCGGCATACATACTTTCGAGGTTACCCACAGCCTTCTCAACTGCAGGCATGACGATGTCAAAGAGCTGCTTGTTTTTGGTGCTTGTCATCGCAGCGGCCGGTGCGCAAGCTCATGCTTGTTTTCAGCTTGAGCCCACACCTGCAAGGCGAGTCGGCTCTCTCGAATGTCCTTGATGCTGATGCTCAGCAAAATTTTCCAGATGTTCTTGTTGAAGCTTCAGCAAGCAGCGCTCCGGACTTCCCGAATATCGTGGAACAGCGTAGCGAGTCTATGACAACTTTCAACAACGAGCACGACCGCGGTCGATTTTCTGCGTGACAGTCACGAAATCATGCCGAACAAGCTGCTCCAAGTCGGGGGCGGGTGAAACTCGGCGGCAGCTGAGCCTGCACACTCCATGTCCCTGACGAGAACACGAGATCGCTCAGGGAGAGTCTCTGGTGACTTGGGCAGCCAGGGAATCTGCTCAAGCAGAGTCTCGAGATCCGGAAGCCTGCGAGCCCGATCCTGCACAAAGCTGCAGGTGTCTCGTCTTTGCCGAGTGAGAAGACTTCATGAAAGTCGATCGCCAGTCGATATCAACCCCAGAGCATTTTGGCCTATGTAGCGTGGCTCTTTGATACTCACTTGGGCCCGACTTGGGCCCTTGCCGATTTGTCGTCCTTGTGATCTGGCCTCTGCTGGGGCTTACCAAGTGTCGCAGCTAGCTCAGCACTTCTGAGATTGCAACGCTGCCCTGGGAGGATCTCTTCTCCTCCGGGGGTCGACCTCGGCAAGATGGGCTTCCCTCATGCAGAAGCGAATGCAGCACCTGCCAATCACCTTTGACAGCCTGCCGGACTCGCTAGGCAACCAGCTGGAATACTTCTGCCAGGCATCCATACAATGACTGGGCACAAGGCAATTGATAAGCGCGTGCGGTGAGCTGAGCTAGGCGGATTCGTGCGCGACATCGTGCAAGGCACTCGGTCCAAACTCATTTGTCAGGTCTCGCTGCGCAACCATGAGTCAGAAACGATTGGTTTTAACGTGAACGAATAAGTCCACGGCCCATGCCCGGGGCTCACAAGAAACTGATTGGCGGTGGCCCAAAGCCTAGAGCCCCCCTCACCCACGCCGCCCACTCCGGCATGTGCTGTGTCCAAGTGAACGTTCACGGGTCTTGAGCTCGAAGCCTGCCTCGCTGGCAGATTGTGGCGGTGGGAATTTCGTTCTAGCTCTTCCTGGGTCCACCGCGATGCGGACAGTTGTGCTCCACGTGTGCAAGCAGGACGCTTCTCGGATGCAGCATCTTCGGGTTTGTCCTGCTGCGCTTCACCATCGCCGCAGGAATATGTCAACATCAAGCCATGGCCAAATGAACCATCAGTGAAGGCTGCCCAGTGGACATCCGCCTTTCCTCCGTTCTCACTGGGGACAATGTAGTCCACATGCTGAGTGTCGACGTCGCTTTTATGAACTGCCCAATCCGAAGCGACTTTTCGGTCCGGATAGCTCTCTCCCGGGCCACATCCCAGCCAAGTCATTGTTGAGAGCTTTGCTGAAAGAGCAAAGTCTACCCCCACTCGGGGAAGAGTCGACAAACCAGTCAAGGGGCCGACTGGAGTCACAGTTACTGACACCACTACCCGATGTGCCTCGAACACATACTGGAAGCATGTTTCAAGAAGGAGCTGGCCAATTGCACTGAAGTTTTCCCGCACGCGAAGATTTGGACCTTCGGCGGAACTGCTCCACGCACCTGGCAAAAACATCCCGCAGTTCAAGTCTGGCATAAGACAGTGCTAGAGCAACTCCCAGATGTCGACGAGGTGCATTCGGTCACAGATGCTGTTAGCCGATCCAGCCCGACGATTTTCCACCTTGACGTGCCATGGCTTGCAGATGAAGCCAACAGTTCAGCAAGCAGATTCTTAAGCCGCCGGCGATGCCGCAAGAGACAAGAAACCGTAACAATCCAAGAAGTGCCTGACGAGTGGTACCTCCCAGAGTTTCGCATGATGATGATATGGCTGCCAGGCGGCAAACCAAAGCACAACCAAAACACCGCGGGTTCATATTCACAATTGACTACTCGCGGCCTGCTTTCCCTAGCTTGGATATGACATCCAGGCCTTGATGAGCCACGGAACGAAAAAGTCCGTGCCACAGCGATCATTGTCCTTGCTCGTGATAAGCAGCTGTTGCTGTCCATAGCGTTCATTATGCTACCACTGCTGACAACTAGCCCTTCGTTCTGAGAATCTGCCGAACATCCGCTATGGTAGTCCGTCGGAACAGCTGGACTCCGTGATTGACAAATGCCGCAGCCAAGTGACTGTCGTTGCGCGCGTGAAGCCGTGCTGCAAGCCAGGCTTGGCGAGCAACTCCAACCCGTCAGTGCCACACAAGGATGTCCTGAGAACGGCACAAGGCGGAGTCAGTGTGGTCCACAAAGAATGTGTGTCTTGATGCTGGGGCCGTGGCAGAGTGCCCCCGTGGAATCTTGCCGTGTATGTAGCTGATTTGACCACGGACTTGTCTCCACTTCTGTCCAAGGTTGCTGGACCCGCTGCAGGCATGGGCAAAAGCGGGGGCAAAGAACCTGCCGCCGATGGGGGTCGAGCGGGTTTGGACGTTTGGAAAACTTCATGCTCAACCTTTGCTAGGCCTGCGGGCCGCAGCTATTATTTTGTTCTGAAGCAAAACACCCAAGCGAGGCCAATGCCTGAACAAAGCATGCCACCAGCGGGCAGCTTGCTGGTTTCCGACTTGGGCACAGCCACTGTAAAGCAAACGTCAGCGATTACGAACCTGGGTTCTGTACGGTCTGCAATCACACGAGCCAAACTGGCTGCATCAGAAGCAGCCTCACACACGATAGCAGCTAGGCAGCTTCTCAGGTATCATTTGTGATCTGTCCGTCTGGCAAGCCTGTAGAAGTAGCCACTGACCACATTGCTGAAGTTCAGGGCTTGCCATCTTCATCACAATCTCAAGCTCCCGTGATTCTCCTTCATGCAAAGGTTACATCTGGCTTGGGAACGGGTCTAAAATGGCAAGCCGTACGAGCAGCTCTTCCCAACACTCCTGGATTTATGCCTCGCATGTCTGCATCCCCGCGGATGGTGCACAGGCACTTCTCTCCGAGCGCATCACAAGCAAGCCTCGGATTCGTTTTGTGTACAGAGCTACGGGCGCTCCGTCGTCCCTAGTGCTGAACGTCTAGCCTGAGGCGTGTTAAGGCTTGTTGCACCCTGGTTGCGCGGAAAAGGACAAGTGTCCAAGATCTCGGAAGGTGTACCGATTCTTGACCTTGGTGAAGGACGTCGACTCTCTCAACCCGAGCTGTCGCGCTGTAAGCTGGGGAGATCTTCTGAGCAGTCGATCACAACTGACCTTAGACCGATCTGCTCTGTGTTCTTCGTGTGCGCCGAGACTCGGGCATTCACCCGGACAAGCCGACCCTCGGAACAGTCCTCTTGCGATTTGAGCTGGAACTCCACAGGTTGCTGCAGCCTTTTGAAGTCCTCTCGATCTCAAGCAAAGTCTCTCTCTTTACACACTGGGAAATCACCCGGCAATAGCGCCCAGCCCAAAACTCAATCAAAACCCAAATGGTTCTGGAGCATCCTGGTAAGCTGGATGTGGTGTGCGATCGGGGAATAGGATGCCATCCACAATAAAGTTGCGATCTTGTCGCCCACTCTCCCTTCCAAAGTCTCCACCGTAGGCATATTCGCCTGACTGTCCGTCCGCCGGTGTCTCTCTTGAATGTCCACAGTGCCAGGACACACGGGCCTTCAAGCCATGCTTCTCGCTGGTGCTTCCCCTTCACATTCGGGTCCAGGATCTGAGCTTTGTGCACCTGCAGTCGCGTGCAGTATTGCACAGAATAAACCAGATCCCCGCAACCATGGCAATGGACATCAGGCTTGTATACAAAGCATTACTAGGTGACAGGTGCGTAGTTACAATGCAAAGGCCGTCGTCGTCGTCATCATGAAGCTATGAGCAATAAGCTTGGCGAATTGCTCCCGTGTTTGAAAACAGCTAGATGTCCGTATGTATTTCATGTGCAGCCATCCCTTGTATGTGCTCTCAACTTTAACTGACTGACGAGTCCACACTCCTGCCCACTACCGAGTGTCGTAGTGAGCGCAAACTTCGAGCGGGAACCCAAATGACGGCGCCTTCACCGCTCCATCTGCCCATTCCCACACAAATCCTCCCTGTATGCATCGGTGCTCCTTATTTCAGAGGAGCTGAGCCTGTAGCCAACACTCACAGACGGCATCCACGCATGTAGATGCAGCATTAGCCATGCGTCAGGTGCCGAAGACCAAAACAGCTCCCAGTAGGAGTGAAGGGATCCGTTGGAGTTGCCGAGGGCGTGACTGTACTCGCAAAGTATGACCTGGTCGAACTGTTTTGAGTCAACACTTTGCAAACATGGCACTTTGGAGCCCACATATGATCGCTGACATGCAAGACGATGCGAGGTCTGGCCAAAGGGGCCCTGCAGCCGGTTTACAGGCCGAGTTCTGCTGGCTGCCGGAGGCAGGATCATTGGTGGTGACCAGTACCTGAGCTATCCAGAGTCTAGGCCTAACCCGCCACACCATCATCCATTCTCTTGATGTCTGCTTGAGCAAACGACCTATGAATGGCAGCTTGGTAGCATGGGGCAGATGATGTCACTTGATGCACCTGGCCATGAACAACTCTCAGAGAGGAGGACTGCCAGTCAGGCCCCTGCACCTTGTCCATCTCCGAAGAATATAACAGCATCACTGCCACAAGTTGCCCCTTCGTATTGGACCGGACGTTGTTGGGGATCCCATCGGTGCAATGACTCAACGCCCAAGGCGAAATTCGGCCCCCAACCGCTCTCGTTTCCGAGTGACCAGACGATGACACAGGTATGATTCTTCGCCCGCTGGAACATGTTGAAAAAGCGATGCAGGAACTGCTGTCTCCAGGCCTGCTCGAAGGTTATCAGGGCCTAAAACCGGTTCTGGTGTGGCCAGGAAGGATGACTGCACTTAGACAGACATGTGGGCAGCCTGGTCACAAGCAAGAAGTGAAATGGCCAAGTTCTCGACGAAGCCGTGTGTTTCAATATTGGCTTCGTCGACCACGTAAAGCCCATGTTCGTCGCAGAGTTCATACCATCTGGGATGATGCGGGTAGTGGCTGTTTCGAACGGCATTGAAGTTGCCTCGCTTCCTTGGACACATGGAATTACGTGGCCCTTTCGTCAATGTGTCCCAGATCCTGCAACTGAGCCTCAACATTTCTATGTCCTTGAGCATGTCGTCAGTGGTGATCGCCTTCCCTCTCGTCGGGTGCATCTCGTGCACATTCGCACCTGCAACCACGATCGGCCGGTCGTTCACACAGAGCTGTCCATCCACGATGGCAACTGTACCTCTGCTAAGCAAACCACCGATTTCATCCGAAACATGCGCGAACATGACAACTTGCCGAAGCTTTGCAGAAGGATGTGCAACCGGGGTGCGGAAACCAATCCGCAGACGCTCAGCCTGGATCGTAGTGTCAGAGGCCTCCGTGAGCTCCAGCTGCAGAGTGTACAGGAAGGGATCCTGCCAGGTGCAGCCAGGGACCTCTGATCCGTACCTTCTGACCTTGTGCAAGACTTCCTCGTTTAAACTTTACGGCTTCAGCTCGGACGTGGGTGATTCCCGATTCGACCTGGGTGGTGGTCGACCCTCGGTCTTTGTGAAGACAAGCTACCGACTCATGTTAACTATCTGCTGGCAGTAAGGAGAGCTTATTAGATGTGGATTGTGCCTCCGCGCTCCATTTTCGCACTCCCGGCACGCGTAATTCTGCCTCCACACCTGCTAAGGCTGCGTCTCAAACATGAACTCAAGAACTCAGTTCATCCTCTGGCACACCGACCTATGTTCGTTTTTGGAGCCTGCGACCTTGTGAGGCTACTCTTCCTGCAGTCCTACTGTACGTTCCTGCGGTGGCTGCAGCCTGCAGTTCCTGGACAGCGAAGGGATCCCAACTCACACGTGCCAGTGCACACTCGCTCTTGCATTGTGGGGTCGGATGCTTTGACGGTCCCTAACTCTGAGAGACAAAGTCAGACAGGGAAAAGAATTCAACTCACACGTTCCACTACACACTCGCTCACACAGTCGGAAGGTCTCGGATGCCGTGATAACAGTCAAGCTCACAGAGAAAGATTTCCGAGAGAACGAGCTTCGATACACATTTCAGTAAGTAGTTACGGTGGACCCGAGAAATATTACAATTACAGCTCTGGAGCCTTTCCCGAATGAGTCACACTTTGTGACTGTTTTCAGGGAATTCATAACGACCAGCTTGTTCCGCAAGGGGACGCGTGGGTTCAGGCACGTAGAGCCAGTCTCGCATGGAGGAAAACTCCAACCCACAACAATCACTGGTTCCCCCAGCGAGGCTTGCATCACCGCGTGGAGCCTTTCACAGGGTAGTAAAGTCTAGGGGTTCGGGATTCGTGCGCAAGGAAACCAACAAATACGTCTTCACGTTGGACTGTTGTTCCCAACCCTCGGCCGCTAAAGCGATCCCAGCACCGTATCCAACATTCGCCCCAACTCTACCGGAGTCTTGCCTAGTAGTTCAAACTAGTCTTTGGATTTCAATTGGCTTCCTATTAGTTTTGCCTCCTACACGGCTGAGCGAGTAGCTTGAGCTTCTGCATACCTTGACTGCTTCGTTAAAGAAGATGAGGCAAAGCATGCTTCCTATTAGTAGCATGAAGGGATTACAGCACTGAAAACATGACAGTAACAAGGTACAGTAAATGTAGAACATGACCATACCAGAAGTATTCGGTAATGTCTCCTGAATTCGACCGAAAAAGAAGCAAATGACTGGAAGCCCGTTAAGGATCTAGGAAGCTCATGATGTCAAAAAACAGGGCGATGGCAATGAAAGTCGAATGCTGGGTGCGGCACACCAGCCAGGCCCATCATCCGTGGAGTCAGTTTTGGTAGGCGCAGTGGCGCGCGCTGACGCCAGGATCTCAGACCGTTCTCCATACAAAGTGAACTTTAGCACCTTGTTGCCGGCGGCTGTCCCAGTAAGCTGGCATTGAACATGCAGAATTCCATCGTCATCTTCGTTGAAGAATGTTCGAGTCTGAAAGTCCTGAGGCGGAGAGCATTCTCGGATAGGGTGAATGTGCCTGTGCTGGGAACTAGTTCGATTGAGACTCTGCAATTCGACAGGCTTCGGGTACCTTGTCGTGCCCAAAGCTCGGATCACAGAAGCAGCACTAGAGTTCACTGGAAACTCGCGTAAGGAGCAATTCAGCCAAGGCACGAAATGCAACTCAACTTCACGATGGATGCCAAAAAGCCACCATTGATCCTGATCCTGACCCGTGGCGGTCTTGTTTGCTCTGCAGACTTCTGCGGGGCGCATGACGCGAGACTTACCGCGTCCTCCAAGTACGATCCATCGCACCAGCTTGGCACCATGGCCACGAGAACCTCTGCTATCAGTGTCGGTCTCAGAACAGAACTGACCGCAAACTCGACTGATCCAAGTGGCATGCTCAGTGCCGTCTGGCAAGTGCTGCTCGGACAATAGAGCAGCTGTAGCTGAGGTGCCTCGTGAAAGCGGCTTTGGTCGCCGAGTCGCCGCAGCCCGAATTGTCAGGTATGCACTGATATTGCTTGTGCGTGCAACACACTAGTTCGGCTGTGTGAATCTACTGCAGACACCCTGCCGGCCTTGTTTATCAACCGCCTGCTGGCTGCCGATAAGTGCATCCGTAATGTCAAACTCGGCAGCAGTCATGGAATCCTGTGAATACCCAATATACCTGGCAATGTCCATGCTGCCATGACAGGGACTAGATGCAATGGGAGCTCGGGGGAACCTAAAACTGAGGCATACTCAGAAAGCACCTACCGGCTGGGGTCTCAGTGTCTGCCTTGCCGTCGCTTCCGAGTGGCTGGCCATCCACCCACACCATCACCGCAGAGCCAACAGCATGGAAGACGAGGTGGACACGTCGACCCTGCAGATTTTCCATGGGAACGTTGAAGGTTGTCCGATAAAGACCTCCGGGCGGAAGAAACATCTCTCGCCCCACGATGGCATGTTGTGTCGGCACACGAGAACCAGTAGATCAGACCTGTCCCAGCCTGTAGGATTGTCGTGCGACACATAGGGTGCCATCAAAGCCGGCACCGGGGTGAAGGGGAAAGTGATGTTCGTGTAGACGGGAGCTGACATGCCCAGCATCCTTGGCTAGCGAGATGCTGCCGCGGCTCACCAACCTTTGCTCTGCATCTTTCGGGATGCTGAACCACAGAAGCTTGATCGAAGAGGCTGCCAATTTGACGGGATGGGGACTTCGTTCCACTGGCTGTCGTCGAAAGATAAGTCCCTCGCTTGGGTATAGGCCTCGTGGTGAGGCAACATGCAAACGAGACACCTGCGTTCACAGAGCCGGCGCATAAATCACTGATCACTGTTCTCCGCTGGCTGCATGGGGGTTTTCGGCCGGCCTCTGCAGAATGCGGATTTCGGAAGAGCTGCAGGCGCCACGGCTTGTCACCGAGATCCTGGATGAACGCTGATCTCTGGCCTTCCGCAGCCTTCGTTGCATCCGCAGGTGTGATGCAACCACCCTTGTTGTCCCTCGGTGTGGTTGAAGTGCCGAAAAGAGGCTTTGGCATCAGGGAAGTAGCGCAATGGCGCATGTGCACGCCTTAGATGTTGCGAGAGCTCTATGCACCGGACAGAAATGCTTCCTCGGTGCATTCCGTGGAGACTGAACTTGTAGGATCCCGGCAGCTTCCTTAGCTTGAGCAGGCGTACGGCGTACTTCACAAAGCGGACAAGCTGACAAACCTGCTGTCGGGAGTCCGATGAGCAAACACTGCAGGATCCTCCCAAGCACGCCGGCGACAACAGCGTCGTGGAAGCCAAATAATTTGTTTCAGAAGGTTAACCTCAGGCTCGGCTGTAGCTCTGGCTCAAAAGCGGCGAGACGAAGAAAAAGCTCTCTGCTTCAAAGGAAATAATTTGAAATAATGACCGGCAGAGTAAAGTCTTGCAAGCAACACTCTTCCGGGGCTCTAACCAAATCTAAGATGTTTCACTTTCCAGCATTCGTATCAGACAGTGCCAGGGTACGGCCTGGAGCAGTAGCAGTCGCCATCTCCACGAATTCCACTGGCAGAACCCCAAAAATCCCACGGCAATAATTGCACCAAAGACTATGGAATTCATCCTCGGCGACACCGACAAACTCAAAGCTCGCACACTGAAAACTTGGGCACGGCATGCGACCACACTTGCGTTCGAGTGTCAACTCATTCATGAAGGCGACGCAGCACGAATGCTCTGCCACATATGTCAAAGGTCTCCGAAGTTTATTCAGCGGTGGTTCTGTGAGGTCTTTCTTAACTGCGGGTCACAGTTCTGCCTGAACAACCAGCTTGTATATTATCACAAGTTCAACCGATGCCCGAAACGGAAAGCATGGACATAGCAGCTTTCACTGAGTCACTGAACCTGGTCTAGAAGTGTGTGCACGTTGCTCGCGGGTTGCACTGTGGTGCCTCCTATTAAGCGCCAGTCCTTTAGAAGCATGGAGATGTTACACGCATGAACTCTCGCGGCCACGGCTCAGGAAGACACAGCGTATATGAATTTGCAACTCGGCCGCTGCACAAGCCGACAGCAGGCGACAGCAGATGTCAACTCAAAGTGCACGAGATTATCACCGACATGCTCAAGACAAAGTGCTGCACGAGCAGATTCACCGTAGAAGGATTCTTGGTCCTAGCTACTCGCTGCTTTCAACACAACTACGCACACAGTCAGGCAACACTCTGAGATAGCGACTCGTAGCCAAGGCCCAATCCCACCAGCACGGCCGAGACAGTCACGAGGAAGGTGTTCAGCCCCCTACTGTAAAGGTCATGCCGCAAGCCCTGCAGACTGCATGGCTTAGGCATGCTTGGGGCTGAACCCGTAGTGGTCCGGCGCACCCTTGGCGCCGGAGGGCCTGCTGTGCGGATCATGTTGCAAGAGCCGGAAATCAGGTACGTCGAACACTCCATGCAGCATCTTCCTACTCCATGCCTTCCCGGACCACCGGCGATTGTTTGCACTGCGGCCTGGCTGCTGACGGATTCTGGCCCAGCGATGACATCCTCTGCACAGTCGCGACTTCAAACAGCACCGTCGTTGACAGCAGGCCTGAGACATGTACCGACAGCGAGCAGGCACAAACCCTTCTTCTGTTTTGCAGCGAATGGGAAAGCGACATGGTAAGTTCAAACGCAAAGATAGAAATGAGGTATGCGCATGCATCAAGGTCACGAGCGTGCATTGACTTCCGCATGCAAAAACCCAGGCAATAGGCAGACAGAAATGCCCACACGGCCCAAACAGCTCAACTGCTCGCATGAAGCCTGGCACACCTTGCACCATGCAGACCATGTCTTAAAGCACGCAGCTCGAATTGAAACCTTGCGAACCGCCTGTAGAATTCTGTCTTTGTTCTTCTTCTGCAGCTGGAGGGCAGGTGCCCTCCCGCCGCTGGGCTCTAGCTGAACAAGCAGCCTCCTAAGGAAGAGCTTACAAGGTGGGGGGGTGACTTGTTGCTACTTCGACGTTGCACGTGAGGTACTACCCCGACTGGCTGACCAGGTTTACAAGAGAGCAGCATGTTGCCAACTACCCGTTCCCTTCTGGACCAGCTCTTTTGATTGTTTTGGAGGGGATGAGCGTAAACAAATCTGCGTCGGCAGACGCAGGTGCACTGCGTCACGTCACTCCCGGAAAGCTTGGTCACCTTCAGCGACTCTCATTGCCGATGGATCAAGGGGTCTCTGTCCGCAATCTCTGGCTGGCTACCGCACCAGCAAGCATCGGGTTGCAAAGCGCCATGTTTCGCCTGTTTTGTCGAGATCTGTCGCGTTGACTGCCTATCGTCCCACCCACTGAACATCACTTTCGAAGTGTTTCGAGGTTCTATTATGTTCTGTGGCTTCACTAAACCTCGCGGTCGAAACAATACCTTTCGCAGTATGTCAAGAGAGAGAGAGAGTGTGTGTGTGTGTCTGCGTCAACATGCGAGTCCGCGCTCTCTGGAAAAATCTTGGCAGAGCTTCTCCCGTTGCTCGCTACTTATGTGGCCCTGATGGTCCTGATTCACCTCTGGAGGGGGCGGCTCTGGTGGTGTTGATGCTGCAGGCTTCGCTGCTGCTGCAGCTCGGGCGTCTGGAGCAGGGCCAGGTGCATCGCCCTGAACTTTCGGAGCTGGGGTGGCACCCACCGCCTGCCTCAGGATTTCAGACTACATAGTTGATGTTGGTGCACATGCTCAGGTGCCATGAACCGCCTTAGGCTCCCACGCAGGCGCACCTTGCGCTTGGAAGGATGTCAGCTTCGACACCGCAAATGTGCGTCGGCTGTCGTGATAGAGAAAGTCATGTTCAGCAACCGTCTGGGCGAGTAAGCCGCGAGGCATCACCTCGACTCGACAGTCGTTGCTTACCCGTCGCCGAGTGTGCAATACCTCAGCTTGACAAGCCTCTCGGCAGCTGCAAGGGCAAGCGCTCCCGGCTGCTGCAACGAATACGACTGGTCGTGCTGTCTCTGAATGCACGGTGTGTAACTTTGCATCTGGATGTCCTGGCCCTGGCTCGTTTCTGCGGCTGCTGCTTCCTGGCCTAACTGATGCGATGTCCCTGCATGATCTCACTCAGATAATAGCGCAGGATGACAGGCCCAAACACTCTGTCCAAGACGTGCGGACCTGATCGACGGCCCTTGCGCATCAACCGAAGCAAGTCAGAACCGCTTTTTTTTTTTGCGAGGACAAGGAAGGTCGGGTCTAGGAACTAACTCTAGTGACTGACGGAATCTCTACGGGCACCTTTCGTTTGAAAGGTGCTGCAGCACAGCGGACACACTCTTGCACTTCAGCAATACTGTTTTTGCCAGAACCTCATTGCTGAACGTCTTGTCTCTATTCTTAGGACTGTACGATCAAAAAGAATCCTGCGCGGCTTCTACAATAACCGGGTGCACGTAAGTACATGCAAAGCTCAGGACTGACGGCAGCCTTTCTCTTTTTGAGCTTCTTTGAGAACCTGCCAAAGCTGGGATCAAGGGCTTCTCAATTCCGATTCTCATACGTGTCACAATCAGGCAAAGAGGGCCGGAGCAGGCCCAGTTTCCGAACGCTGCTAGAAGTGAAGCGTCTCACAAGTTGCCGGCAGTTTGAGTCACCCCGTCATTTTTTCTTCGTCTCTTGCGATAGCAGCGTCAAATCTGCACCCCAGTCCCCAGTTCACTTCTCGAGCTGATAACCCTTTCTGCATGGAGGCCTAGCTGCCTATCTCCTGCATCCACCCCAGCCAAGTGCTTTGCAGCCTGAACGAGCTCAGGGTTGTGAGTGCTCGCCAGGTCCTGTCCCTTGACTTTAGAGACCTCAGCAGATGGCTCTGTGTGTGTTACATGTGAGGCAACCTTTCTGTCTTCGGTCGTCCGTGCATCCGGCATCATATGCAGACAGTGACCTCAGTTATCGCAGCATGCGCCATACATGCGCCAGCAGGCGGTCCAGCAAAGGTGAAGAACAATCTTGCTGGGCACCGCGGCGCATGGTTCTTGACCTCAGGCTCAGCTCCGTTCCTGCAAAAAGTGCACATATCCCGGATATCCTGCATATCCCGGATCGTTCCAGTTCATGCGCCTGAGGAGAATCAAAGCGCAGTCCAGATTTCCTGCGTAGCTCGCCGCCTCGACAAAACCATGCACCATGTTGCAAAGCAGCCAGGCATCAAAGCGCAACCTTGCTCCAGAACTGAGCCATGCACATGAAGCGGAGTGTTGCCGTCAATGTCCTTCCATAGGCCATGCCCCAAGCAAAGCAGAGATAGCACATTCTGTTGCAATCGAGTGTTGAATCAAATTGCCGTTCAGTAAACCTCGAACCAGCGCCAGCACTGAGCACACGGGCGACTAACTTTAGATGTCTGGCGAAGATCCTGCCGACCCTACAAAACTGACAAGGGCCTGAAGATCAACCACATGGCAGGTCCTGGGCATCTATCAATTGTGGCACAGTCTGGACGAACAGCTGTGTCACCTGTCACAAGCACAAACAATCAAAGTGCGTCAAGCACCGGTAGCATGATCGCCTCTGTATGCCCAGAAGTGCATGCCTCAGACCGCAGTGAGTAGACTGTGCGATTCACCCAAGCAGGAAGGCTTATGATTGTGGGTGCTGCGAACTTGTAACACACGCGGTCAACACAAGCTCCGCACCAAATGCAGCCCACTTTCCCATCGGGATGTTAAGGCCTCAGCGGCCAAAGGATCCACCAAGTCCTCCACGTTCGACACACAGGGACAGGTCATGTCTAAGGTCGGTGCGCTAGGGTTTGCTTTCATTTCCATGAGCAACTGAACCTGCGATACCCACAGCACTTGCGACAAGTGGCATACGAAGGGGCCATGCTGATTGTGCTGTGCTGCCCTCAGGTGCGGACACACCGTATACAACCAGTTGAACCTGCGACTTGCAGCGATGTGTGCTATCGCACTACGGTGGCACTCCGCCAGTAGCTAGGTGATCATGGATATTGCCTGATCTCACGTGAATTACTGCAACAAACGCAGCATACGTGAAGAAGCAGATTCCGATTAAACCTTCTGTCTTGCGGTCTTGAACATAAGGCTGTGACAAGCCAGGTGTATGGGAGACATTCCCTTCAAGTTGCGAACCTGACAAGCACAAGTCTATGCCAAAGCACCATCACGCCGTGCTTCTTTGCAAGCGGCCTCCACATTGGCAGAGACAGTGAGAAGACACTCCAGAATTTGTCGCTTGACCGTGTCTCGGCCGCCCTCCTGCACGCATGGGCTATCCCGCCTGCTGCGCTCTGTCTAGTGCCAGCTAACGATGAAAATCTGTTCTACCTTTCGAGATGGCCTGCCTTGGCCAGAGCCAAGTGCATGGCCCTCAGGCGGAAACATCTATAAGCGTTAGCATGAAGCACGACACAGCCGAAGAATCACAGCCTAAGACAGGTGCGTGTTCGCCTGAACATCCAGCAAGTGTGGGTCAGCACCGAACAGGCAAAGCACCTCAAAAACCGAGCGCTGCAATTCGACTTCCTTTTTTGTGAGAGCCCGACCTCTACGAGCTCGGGCAGGTGATTCTCACATGCGAAGTGGAGAGCAGACTTGCCCGCCAAAGTTTGGCAGTCTATGTTTGCTCCTGGCACTTCTCACGATGTGTGCAAATCTGAGAGGTAAAGAAGCTGCACTGACCGCGGCTCCGTATTCTAGGAGAAGGTTGGCGATCCCTCGCCAGTTGCCTTTTCTCAAGCACACCTTGGAGTTTATCAGTTAATCCAGGCAAAGGCCAGGGCGAGAGAAAAGCGTGCTGAACAGTGGTTGGCATGGACAGGTGCATATTCATTTCACGGACCATCATCATGCAAATCAGGATTGAGATCCGGGCATAATGCAAAGGCGCCGCCCCAATGTAGTTTACAGTGTTGGGGTTGGCCTTAAGCAAAACACCACTTCAGAAGCCCTTTGCCGGACACCGAAGTACTGGTGCACTGTGTCTTGCGGCCATATTCTCCAGCAGGCATGACACCGTTGCAACTTCATTTCTTGGTGCCTGCTTAGAGGCCAGTGTACAGCACGAGACAACATGGAAGGCACTTCGGCAAATAGCCTCCACGGCAACATGCAACGGAGTATTCCCTTCGATGTCGACCTGCAGATAGTGGTGAACAAAATAAATACCGAAGCACAGGACGTGTCACAGGCCGGCACTTCCTCCACTGATGCACCTGCTCTGCTTTGCAGCAACATGACACATGGGTGCGGCTGCATTCCAAACTGGCCTCCATTAAGGATGGCATGTTCGATTCCCGATCTGTCTCCCTGCACTTGCTTTGGAACGGAGAGGACAAGGGGACTAGACAACAGGGCTCAAATCAGTTTTGCGTCTGCGTGGGTTGGATGTGCATCCAGGTGGTTGAATAGCGGCGACGTAGCACTGGGACATGCGCCCCTTTTCTCCGTGAAGAAAACTGCTGCAACGGCGCCATCGATGTGGCCACTTCATCAACAGAATATGTGGCCCGGGCTGCCAGCATGACTAGCTTAGTTTCTTTTTGGCATTGCCGATTGGCCTTCATGCACCTGCTGCGCAGCAGATGCACGGAAGTGAGGTATTAAAGCGCAGGTGCATCATCCAAGATGCCGCGCTTGCTCATGCGCCGATGTACTTTGTACGAAGCGGACAGCGCAGGACCGAGTTATGGAAAATCAGCATTGCGGAGTATTGCCACGTTACCATAGGCCGGTTCTCTGGAGGGCCCTTGGGAGTTGCACTTTGTCAGATGTTGTGGCACAAACTGCTACGCTGCTACACATGTCATGTCGTGAGTCTTAGCAACCTGCAGCCGAGATTCTTTTGAGCTCCCTCGTATGCTCCGAAGAAGATAAAGCCTCCAATCGTGATCCAACTAACGCGGGGCCCGATTCCCCTGAAGAGTCCTGACAAAAGTCGGTGCATGCAGGAATGCCACCACAGTCTGGACTAGCATTCATTCTCTCAAACGGCAATCGACTTGTTCACGTCCTTGAATGCCCTCCTCTGCTGCAATAACTCTGATTGTTTGGATGGTGCCATCGTACTTTCGAGCAACCTCAAGCAAACAACGGCTAGAAGCATGAAGCAGGTAATTTGGCTAACACCTAAGCGGGAAGGAAAGGATGTGCCCAAATGCGGAGAGGGAGACCATGGGGCAGACGAAACGTGTCGGACGCATACTGAGCCCTTCACACCCTCTTCCACCTTCTCTAGCATGATTCGGGTCTTCGCCACATCGAGGGGAGTGGTGGTGCCTAGGCTGCGCAACCTGAACTCAACACATTATTCGCACTAAGGTGCTCCTGCCAAGCCTCTGGCTTCAGTCTACAGAAAACGTTTAAGTTTTCTTTCTTCGATTCGAGATCTGCACAGAGCCGGGTGTTGCTTTCAAGCGGCCACCAGCTATGCCACCAGCCAGCGAGCCACAGGCTGCACCTTGGCAACGCCATGGTATGCTCAAACTGGGAACCTGGCGCACGGAGCCGTGGCCTTGAATGGCAGTTGTCTCGCTGCCTTGCCTCTCAGCTATTATCTTCTTGAACCTGCACTGGAATGGAACATCGTCGCTCAAAGGCCATGGATGGCTACGGGAAAGAAGCGGATTGTCGCCCGCGGACCTCTCATAAAGTGGAAACTGGATGAACGAGAAAGGGATCTCTCGCATGACCTGGGCACTTTAGGCGAGGAAAAAGCTGAAAGCCGAATTCTGCAAGGAGGCGGAGCAGCCAAGGCACCATGGTCCCATAGCCTACATAGAAAGCTCCGAGACCTCCGGTTCTGTAGATGGCGGCAATGGCTTCGGTAAGCCTCCTTGGCGGATGTCGTGTCAGAGCGGGCCCCAGATTAATGCTGAGTTCTGACGAGGCTCGTATACCTGCCGACTTGCATGTTCTGAGTGATGTTGGCCGTCGGCACCTTACAGTAGGGTCGAGCAGAACTTGAACGACCTTTCACATGGAGATCCATGGAATGGCATGCGCTGGCTTCAACGGGTTTTCCTTTCCATGCACGGGTCCCAAGACATGCGCCACATGCGCTGCATTTCCCTGCCTCTCACCTCACAAACCCGAAAACTGCAGCACAGGCCCAAGCCACGCCATGGAACAGGCACACCAGGTGCACACAGCTTGACAGGCTTCAAATACTGTACGAGTGATAAGTGGCAGCCGAATGGAGAATCTGCAGCCTATGCTTTAGAAAGATCTCTACTCAGTGCGGACAGCCAGAGGCAACGAGCCTATGTGCCCGCTGTCACTTTGAGAATGCTCATCGACTACTTGCAGCAAAATTACCCTGACCAGACAAGCCATGGCTTCTCCGCATGATGATGCGCCAGCATGTTGAGTCCAGTGCTCCTGCCAGCTGGGCACACGCCGAATGTATGTAGTGACTTCGTTGCACACGATGCAAAACCTCATCTCAAGCGCAGCAGTTTACATCGGACACATGGGACCTGGTTCCCGGAAAAGTTCTTGGACACCTGCAGCACCCGGGCTGCATGTCTTCATTCTGAAACGTAGCTCGTGCGGGACCGACCTTCTTCATGGTCTCATATGTGGAGAAGAACATGGCAGCGCCAGGTGCGGATCCGATGGCAGCGGAGAGAATCCCCTTGTAGGCTCCGCGAAAGCCTCCTGAACAGCCAGGTTGAGGCTAGCCGCAGATGTTCAGGATTGTAAAGCAAACGAACAGTGTATGCACGCACAGAGAAACAGAAACCAGTGCGTGTGTGTGTATATATATATACACATCTCTATATGTGTATGTATGCATGCATGCATACGTACATACTCGTACATACATACAGTATCATAACGTTACATACACACAAGAGACCAGCGCATGCTTACCGTTTTCAAACGGCGCCAGGCCTGAGGCCCAGAATCCTTTTTCTGACTGGAGCCGAGTTCGGAAGGTGTCCAGAGGGTGCAGTGCGCAGTCCACAGTCGTACCCGCGATTCCACCAGCAATCAATGCCTCCGCTTGTCGAGGCGAGTCAGAAGGCTAGAAGCTTTGGGGTCTGACAACAGTGTCGTGACGAGCTGCTAGCGTAAAGGGAACGCCGTCATCTTCCGCCATGCTGCAGCTTCTGCGGCCAAAACTACGGGACGATCAGCGCGAGCCCCAAAACTGAGCAACTGCGCGGAAAGACTCAAAGCCCTCATGCAGACCAACAGTCCAGGTCGCACTGCATGCAAAACCTGATCCCACGGTGCCATCCACAACGGGCTACAGCACCACCTGCCTTTCTGCACAGAGGAATGAGTATGAGTCGGCTCGCCGTCTGTGGTCGCGGTGGTGCGATCACAGGCGCCTTCATAGCAGGCGTGCGCTTCTTGTGGCTGATCCCAAGAAGTGAAAGCTTATGACCCCGGCTGGTACAAAGCCGTGCTCCGCAAACGTGGCTTCCTGCAGCAGCAGGCGAAGCACTGTCGCAATGAGATGGCAGCAGTACGGGTACGGTGAAGGCCTGGCCTCATCAGGATGAGCAGTCTGCTTCGAGTGGAACCTCAGCTCTGCAAGGACGGAAGAAAGGGAGCTACCGAGCTGTCAGAGAGGACTGCGCCAAGCTACTCTGAGGTGGCGCAGTCCTCTGGTGGCGGCGGGGGCGGGGGCGGAGGCGGTGGCTCCATGGCGCCTTCGCTGGGGGCGTATCACACCACGCAGCTGTGTGCATGCACTGCGTGCTCCATACTTCAGTGCCCGGCCCAACGTTCCACCGTCGTCGGCTCATGTCGCGAGCCTAAACGGCCTCGAGTCATCTGCCGTCTCTTCCTGCGGAATGCCCACCCCTTCGTTCCGGGCAAATGGGATATACGTCTACATGCTGACACCAATATCGCAGCATCCGACGAAGGAGTACCTGCCACGATGCCAACGGTACGATTGACTTCGGTTTGACGTGCTGACCTCGAATGAGTTCGCATCATGTTCCTAGCTACCCCTGCTCATGCAAGACGAGTTACCCGCAGTTCGAAGTCACCCGTGCATGCGTCTTGCTCAACGGTGGAGCTTGCTGCAAAGTTTCACAGACATCTGCGAGAGCCGCCCGACGAACTTCGAGGGGGCAGGTGAGAGGCAGGCCGGAGGACACCTGACAACCCGAGATCCAGGCCAAAGCCAACAAAACCGAGAAGGCTCTTTGGGTGTAGTACAGCTACGCACTGGAATCCAGCGACCGGCAATTTTTTTCTGGAACACGCGCAAGAGTCAGGCAACGACTGCTGGAGCCGTTGCCGGAGAGGATGGCAAGCATCAGCACTTTTCAGGCACTGTTTTCGTAGCAGTCAAGTTTGTCAGTGCTGGTCTGGAACATAAGCATGAAGCCATAAAGCCAAAAATCATATCAGTCTCACTACATCTTGTTGCGGAGAACTCGGCTGCGGCTCGACCGACTCAGAAAACTGCAAATCGCCCTTGACGAGGTACGGACCTGGCACTATGCTTCATGCTTGAGTAGGCATGTAAACACATTCGTGCATATTTCTATGTGATCTAAATGTAAGGATTGCATATGCATGTCTAGGAGGGTGTGTGTGAGTACATATTGAATCGAAGACGGTATGATGAAACTCAATACAAGGCGGCGGAATACATAAACAGGAGCCGGCATCGTGGTAAGGGCCATCGTGATAGCTTAATCGTGGTGTCCATCTCCCAAGCTCAAACTGTCATTCTGAAAGCGGCCATCATCCTGTTATTCTTGTGGTTCGTGATCTTGTGTACAGCTACTGCTTGCTGCCACTCCCACTAAAGCCACCACACGAGGTTGATTCATACCCACCGGCTGCGGAAGAGGTATACCGAAAAGGAACCAAAATCACTTCTACTGTCCAAGCGCCAAGAGTTGCTGCGACACCCACACAGAATCTGAAGGCACATAAGTCGACCTGCACCTGCACTTCCTCAGCTGTTGTGAGGCTGCAGTCGCCAAGCCAGAACATCTGTAATTGGCCCCCGTGAGAAGCCCCTTTGGGATCCTGCGGGCACACGCGGCTTTCTTAAAAGCCACAAAGGCCATCCCAAGTGCTTGTCAGCACTGGATCAAGCCATCTCTGGAAGGT